TTGTTCTTGTTCTTGTTCTTGTTCTTGTTCTTGTTCTTGTTCTTGTTGTTCTTGTTGTTCTTGTTGTTCTTGTTCTTGTTGTTCTTGTTCTTGTTGTTCTTGTTCTTGTTGTTGTTATTGTTCTTGTTGTTGTTCTTGTTCTTGTTCTTGTTCTTGTTGTTGTGCTTGTTCTTGTTGTTGTTCTTGTTGTTGTTGTTGTTGTTGTTGTTGTTCTTGTTCTTGTTCTTGTTCTTGTTTTTGTTCCTGTTCCTGTTCTTGTTCTTGTTCTTGTTGTTCTTGTTCTTGTTGTTCTTGTTCTTGTTCTTGTTGTTCTTGTTCTTCTTGTTGTTCTTGTTGTTCTTGTTCTTCTTGTTGTTGTTGTTGGTGGTGGTGGTGTTGTTGGTGTTGTTGTTGTTGCTGTTGTTGTATATTTTGCTTGACCCCTGCACACAAAATACTAAAGCTACGAATTCCTCCAGCTCCGAAAGTTCAAGCACTGACATCCTCAGCGAGCCGGATTCATAGGAACCAGAAGTCGCAAACATGTCATGTATCAGTATCATGTATCCAATCAAGGCCATACTGAGTCAATACATTCCCTGGCCTACCGCATCAAGGTAGTTTGGTTCAAATGTTGGTCAGGTCTCGGGAACGTCTTGAAGCGATTGGAACCCAAAGCCAGCTTCTTCAGATGCATCTTCCCAAGTTGCTTCGGAAGAGACCGCAGCCTGTGCGTTTGCCAACGCCACAAGATGTCTTGCTCACACTCCCACAAAAGTTTTAACGGTGCTGCACTGGAAAGGTCTCGAGAGAGTGTGACAGGGGCACATGTTTGTGCTTTGTAGGTAGAAAAGTCCGATGACAAAACGTGGATATCCCGTCAGTCCTCGGGACCACCTTTGCCTTTACCAGATCGCCCACTTCTGGTTCTCCTGCCTGTTGTTGCCGAGGTAAAGCTCTTTCAAGTTGACCATTCTCGTGATGCAAGGAGCTACTGATTTGAAGCCATTCCCGTTAAGCTGCAAAGACCTGAGGGGTCGGTTGGACACTTGTTCTTTTTGTCAAACTGCAACCAAGTTGGACGTGGTTGTTGAAAGCTCAAGAAAGGGTATGTGTGTTTCGAACATAACGGGTTCTACCTTTTTTGATTTACTAAGATAGTCTACTTACTCAGGAGCATTTTGGTCGCAGGTGCCATACCAGTTGGGCAATCGAAAGCATGCAGAATGTCGTTCCAGCGTGAAAACAATTGGCAATCCAATCTAGAGCACTATCTGGGGGTCATGACCTTTTCAGCAACAAGAGAGCTTCCGAGATTTTGTTGGGCTGCCATTTGTCAAAGAATGTTTGGATCCAAACCATTGTGCCAAGGGTCCTCAATGAAGTTGCTGCCAAGACTCTCCAGGTGCACAAGGTTGCAGATTTCAGAAGGTACAGCACCGTCCTCCTCCACACCTGAGACACCAGGATCGTCCCTCCAAGCAGAAAACATCATGAAGCCTAGACTCAGTCTTCCATGAAAACGAGTTTCTTGAGGATTTCCCTGTCATGCTCTTCAATGTCATTCTGACTCTTTCCGTGTCACTTCCATGTCTCAATCGAAGCTGGTGCCGCACCTTTAAGGCCATTGATCTGCAAACGCTTCAGCCGGTGCCGTGTCCAGGATGCCAAGGATGAGATGACCACATCGTCCCGAAGGTGGGGATCCTCACGAGGTCGCAGCAATGCAAAAGCACCCCAGGCTTTGGCTTCCTTTTTTGCCGACCTCCCCGCCTGCCTACTAAATTTAAGTACATAGTAGGCCTACTTAATTAAGTAAGGGAGAGGTAAGCTAGTAGCTTACAAGTTCGCTACTACTTACTGGACGCAGGATAGCTCACGCTTCTTCAAGGAAGGCACAAATGATGTTGTTCCTAGATGTTTAGGAAATCCTTAACTTGTTGATCCTGGATTCTCGCTTCCAATTCACCTTGAAATCTCTGAAACAAATAGAAAGACTGGACTGGACATGAAATAATTGAACATCCAAGGCACCCTCTGCCGAAGAACCTGCACATCCAAGTGGAGCTCTGTGGGCTTCCCATTTTCACATCGCACCTCCTGCGATGAGCAGCCTGCTGCGGAGCTCAAATCTTTTCAATCTGTCAGAAGCCGCAAGGCAAACCGCAACACAAAAGCCCGAATTGCCTCATCAAACTATCTAATTGAGTTCGCCTTGACTGGCTTTGGACCAACATTTCAACAACCCTGAGAGCCTGAAATGCAATTCTATCAATCTTGAAACTCAAGCTATGCAGCAATGCCTCTGGAATGCAAAGAGAACAGGTACTCGCCCACATCTGCCTAGCGCATCTCTGTGGTAACCAGCACGAGAAGCAACCAGGTGATATGCCAAACTGTCAGACTTTTACAAATGTGTCCCTCTTCGATAACATTAAGTTACTTTGTCATTCCTCGAAAAGCAAAGCATGGTGCGTCGCCGTCTCCGACCTTCGTTTGGCGCGTCAGCACAAGCACTGCCAGAAGCATGGGCTCCCATGGGCTGAAAAAGGTGACCGTCTACTAGGCTGGATGCTGTCAGTTTGGAGCATTCTTTCAACTCATCAAAGACTTGAAACATGCTTTTCGTTGCGGGGCACAAAGAGGAATGCATGATGATGCGGCGCTTTTTGCTATCTCATGTGACTTCACACCTAAAGCCAGCTGTTGAGCCGAGCCGAAAGAAACAGGCCATGTTTTAGCTATCAGGTCATCTCTGTTCTCTTTTCCGTGTCACCAAGTACTGCCTAACCGTTAGGGCCTACCCGCCACCAGCAACAGAGAAACAGAAACGTGTTGGGTGGTCTTCTAAGTTTTAACAGCCTTTTCCAGAATCATGCAGCTGCTAGGCCCTTGAGTTTAAGATACTCAGGCTCAGGCTTGTCCGGCTTCCAGGCATTGAAGCGGGCTCTGATCACGTCACTGATCCGTGCCTTTCCTGTGAGTTGATTCACCTGAGCATCTCATATCAGGCTCAGGCTGCTCTGGTTGGCTTGATTCAATCGTTTATGTGCGCTTTATTTATCGTCATAATCTAATCAGGCCCGTTGCGATGATTCTTCTCTTTCAGTTCAAGGCGTGAGCTTCAATCCAAAATGCTCTAGACTCTAGTAGGCCAGATCAAAAGAACAGCATCAACCTTCACCAGTACAGCTGTCCTTTTGGTTTCCAATATGTCAGACTGCAAAAGATTCTATCAACCAATAAAAGGCTGCAATGCTATTCAAGACTATACTGCCAAAATGACAGAAGAGGAGAATAGAGTCCTACACCGCTCAAAGCCACAGCTGCAAATTCGACGGTTTGCACAACAAGAAGCGACACATAGCACAGGCCTGTGGCTCATAGATGGGAGCGCCAGAACTGGCAATGGATGCGCCAGTGCCTCAGAAGATTCAGATTGACCTGCAACCTCACTGCAGTCCTTCACAAAGTTCTAAAGCAAAAATTGTCTGTGAGCCGGTCAATGTCCAGAACACCTTCAGGCAACCCGACGGCTTATCTGAGACCGGTTGCTGCCTGCATTGCTACCTTGAAAGTGCAGGATGCCAAGCAGCTTCGATAGAGGCGACCCGTCTGAAAACACTGGAAAAGTCAGTCCTGGGCAAAAAAACAAAAGATATGCCCCAGCTAAGGCTAGATGTTTGTATATATATATATATATATTGATAAAGTAGAAGTTGTTTCCCTTATGCTGACTAAGGCCCAGTCCAGAACGTGGCAACACCGCAGAGTGCTGCCTGCACAATGCAATGTCTAAAACAGTATCAACCTTGCCCCCCGCTTGAAGGAGGCATCAACAGCACTATATGGAGCTTCAAGTCGAGTGCAGTGAAGTGAAATTGTTTTGTTGTATGTATTAATTCTATTAAGTAGCTTCTTGGATGTCTTCGTGCCAGGGTTCCCTCGTTGTGTGTCTTCAGCCTTGAGGCAGCTTCGGAGGCAACATCATCTCCTACAGTAGCCAAGAGCAAATATCGGCCGGGTTTGTGAGTTTACGAAGAATGCTAGTTGTGACAGAAAACTAAACACTCTAGTGTATACAACCCTAGATTGGCAGCCGGGAGAGATACCACATCTCCGACACTCTCGAATTCAATACGAACATCAAAATGAAGTCTTAAACCTTCAGTTCTTTTTTCAACCGATCAGTGTCTTGTTCTGATCAACTCGGGACCCGACCGCTGTTCGGAGGTGCTGAGCTAGACCGCAAGGCCTGATGCAAAGCCAGCTTGCCATGTAGAGTCGGCATGAGTCTTGACACATGGATAGACATCATCAAATGATATCTTCATGTCTTCACTGTCTCATCGTTGACAATTAATTCGGCCTGGCTGTGATGTCTCTCCTCAAGCTCACGCATCTGCGTGTCAATCTTCTCCTTTCGATGGGTGTTCGGAACGTCAAAACCAATGTTCATCTTGCTAAGGATGTTTCAACCACGGCTGAAACACTCAATTGCCGCAAAACTGGGGACAAGCAGGGGTTGGATTGCATTCAAAATCGACAAACTGGATCAGTGGTGTCCAAGCCCTTCCCACCTGGACTGGGCCTCCGTATTCGATGCCACCTTCATGCTTGACCTCGCAGTATGCAAGCTCTCAACAAACCTTCTGACAGTTCAGCATACTGCGGTGCTGATAACTACATGAATGATGCTTTATGATGCTTTGCTTTGTCAGTTCAGCAATATCTCTGTTGGAACGATTGTATCTGTTTACTGTTGAACTGCTGGCCCGCAGCAACATGCAAGAATCCACCGAACATTCTCCTAGGCTCAGACAGACTTGATCGGCCGCATCATAGAGTCCAACAAAGAGCCTTGGTGCACCTCCAAAGTCCGCAGAGTACATGCAGTTCAATCTGTAGGTTTTGTTGTGTAAACCGCACAACGAAATCTTCATTACATCTGCATCAACCTCCATGTCAACAAAAAGACGCAACTACCAAAAGGCCCAGGAAATGCATAATTATTGAATATAAAGTTTGCTATAGGCTTGATCAACACTGGCACCAGCTTGCCTGATAGTTCCGAGTGAACTCCCCGATGTCTACAGCCCCCTGGTCATTCTTGTCCAGCAAGCTGAACAAGGCATGAAGATCTGCACCTAATCTGCCAAGTCATCAACAAGCATTCCCAATCTACCAACACCTGGAAAACGGCACGTGGTTCTAACATGGTGTCCATGCAGTTCTCAAATCAAGGGCATTGTGTGCACAGCTGCACCACTCTTCTGCAAGACGCGCAAATCCGCAAGAAGACTCAAGCATGATGCAATGTCTCTCCACAAGTCTTTTATCGTACGGGCAGTTGTCTTTTTGGCTTGTCACTTGCTGTCAGAAACTGAGGATGCTGAATAATCTGCCATGGCACTGCTGTTTGGAATCTTGAACTTCTCACAAGCACTTCGCAGATCTGAAAGGCTGAGGTAGCCATCATTGTCAAAATCCTCAGCAATCGACCGTGGGTGATCAACGGGCACCAGATTTGCTTCCAAGAATTGCCGAGCTTGAACGCTTTGGAGACATTGCTTTCGAAAGGAAACAATTGTTGTACTCTGGCGTGACGAATGAAGAAGGGGTTGCCGACAAGCCGATCGTTCTCTCCTGCTTTGCTTTAGTGACTTGAGGGTGGTCAGCAGATCGGCAAGTTCCACCAGCTCGAACCCTTCAAGATCTTTTCACTTGTTGCCTTTCAAGGCTCTAAGCGTTTGAACATCTTCGAGGGCTTCAACTTGCCACCATTGGAGTTCTCCACCAGTGCAATGGCGTCCGCCAGGGCTTCCATGACGTACCTTGGCTCAGGCCGTACCGCTTTGCGGCCAACGCGAACCAAGAGTTGAGGAAAACGGGAACCAATAGTAGATTGAAGCTGTTGGAGTCAGGAAGCAAACACTCTAAGTAATGCACTTGTTGGTAGCGATGGCCTCCAACCTAGTAGCGATGCCCTTTGCTCCTAGTAGCTTCTTGTTTCTAGTAGTACGGCCAGGAGCCAATAGTAGCGTCCTTGCTCCTAGTAGCGATGGCCTTTGCTCCTAGTAGCGATGGCCTTTGCTCCTAGTTGCCTTTTGTATTCATGCACTGCATCCAAGAGGCCTTGCTTGCCAGTAGTTCTCATACCGTGGCTTTTCGGAGTCTGGCGGTCGCTCCCGTGGGGGTGGGTTGCCACGCAGGGCTCGGTTTAGGCCATCGTTCACATAGTGGATGACCTTCTTCTCATCCTGCGACATTTGAGATGCACCTTTGCTTACCATGGTCTCAGTTGTTTTCACGTAGGGAGTTCTGGCTGTGCTTCTGCAACATCGTGCAACACCGCAGAACTTGGTTGTGGGTTTACATCCCAGAACCGGTCCGGAGGCTTGTAGACATTCTCGATGAACTGCTGCACGTCCACCTCGTGATCTCGGTTGTGCCTCTGGGTCACCACAAAAGCCTGGCTCAATGTGCTCAAATGTGCTTTGAATCAACTTGCTTCTCCCAAGTTCTGATGGAAGGGATGGCAAAATGGCCTCCCAACTTACAGTATATCCAAACTTATCGAAACAGGATCCTCCAAATCTAATTATAGGCCAAGTCCAAGTCAAACCAATTCCTGGCCTCGATGTCCCCTCTCAAAAGCTTCAGGGAAGCTGGTGGCCCTGCAAGCCCCTGCGCTGCAGCAGAGGGTTCTTTCACCGTCTCTAGGGACGTGTCTGCCTCACGAGCACCTGCCAGTCTTTGACACACTCAAGAACGACACTGGAGCAAGTGTAAGCAAGAATCTGTTTCTTTGCCTTCGGCAGATTGGTCCAACGTCATGACATCCGGGCCCTTGGAACTGTGAGAAGCATAGAGAGGCTCCTCAATGTACAGTCCGGATACGTTCCGGCCGAATGAGGCACATGGTGTTGCACACAAGACTTTGTTGCCGTGTTTAGCTTCGAGCAAACAAACGACGATTATTGACATCCTGTTGGAGGTCAACAGCTGTCCTTTCGTCGCAAGGATGACTGTGTGTTGGGCTCTTCCAGCTCATTCACCAACATGTCGATCAAATCATCCTAGCAGCAAGCTGTCGCAGCAAGCTGTCGCAGCAAGCTGTCACACTATATACGTCGCAGTAAAAGGAATGTCCAGGTGTCACCTATGACGCCTATAACGGAAAAATGTATGAAAAGCAAATCTCCAATTTGACTTCATCTCTCTGAGTTGCTTCGCCTGGTGCACAGTTTCCCTTTCTTTCAGCAACTCTTGCAGCCGTGACTTTCGGATCAGCTCCGGCCTCAAGGAGAGTCTTCACCAATGAAACTGACATATGGAGCTTGACTATACAAAACCTCTATGGCTGAGCCAAGCTGAGCCCTCTTGCAAAGCGCGCTCCGTCCGCTGCGCCTTGGCACGGAGAACCTGGCCGGACCGCCCGCGCTGCGTCGTCTTCGGACCGACCTCGGACCGCTTCCGTGTCCCTTTTCCTCCCAAGTCGACATGCCTGAATGTCTCCCGGTAGAACTTCATCGTCTTAAGACGAAAAAGGAGCCTTCTCAAAACGGGCACAGGTCTGGCGCCAGGGAAAGGACAAGCAGCTAGCGTCCACAACTTGAATTGAGACGCTGGTTGCATGGGATGCAGGAACTTGGATGAGATTTGGTTGGAGGCCATCTCTAGTGGGTTGGATGAGATTTGAACAAACCCATCCTAGGCCCTGCATCGAAGGAGAGACAATTCCAATTGTTGGAAGCCTCATGTTGATAATGCCCACCTTTGCCTCCAAAGAGAGGTCAGCTTCTGTCTTATTGACTGATTGACTAAGGATATCTGATATCTCATGATCTATGGTTGAGTCGGTTGAGTATTGTTTCTACACATTTCTACACTCTGAACATCCAGTACAAGGACAACAAACTACCTCTCGTGGAGACAAGGATGAAACTCCTACGAAAGGAGGAATCACGGTGGTTTGCAGCATTCCTTTGGACAAACGAAACGATCTGATTAGATGCTCTCTCTTGCTTGAACACTGCCCTTTAGCAGCTTTCAATGCCACAAACCCCGGGAGCAAAAAAAGGTTGGACTCCTCAGGAATCACCTTTGTTCATGTGTACATGTTATGCTATTAGGGTGGAAGCCATCGCTAGTAGGTTGGAGGCCATTGCTATTAGGTTGTACAAATGGCCTACTGACTAAGTTGCTTCTACCAGGGTAGAGTGCCCTTCTCCGCTGTTGCAAGAGTTGAAGCAACCTGCCAACGTTATAACTTGCCTCTCCCCAAGAAATGATGAAGAAAATGTGGCCATCACGAGCGCCAACAAAGAGTTCATACTCCAAATCACTGTCAGGAGCTGAGAACTTGGACACAGGTATCTTTGCCAACTTGCCAAGCACTCACTGCACTTTGTGTGACATGAACTTCAAGAACTCCTGGCACTTTGTCAAGAAAAGATACTTTGAATCTTGAGGAAATTTTCTTTGCGTGTCTGAAACTGCATTCCATGTCTGCATCCAAAAGTCAACTGCCTACATGTCATACCCCACTCTTGGTATATACATATCTCTCCATCTCGCATGTCAAGTTTGGAAGGTTGCATGCATATCGCTCCTCCTCTGAGATTCTTCCATCACAGTTTTGGTCCGCACGCCTCCAAATGCCTGCAACCTGCAGCGACGACGAAAGAATCAGGAAGCCTGCTTTAAGCCGAAAAGGGAATCGTTCCACGGGGAGACCAGCGAACAACCCTTCTCCCCGCCTGGGCTGAATTAGTATCTGGACAGACCTGCAATTTGGGGCACAAGACACTGGCAGCACTCACCGAGAAGACCCTCAGCGCAGGATCACTCGTAGCTCAACAAAAATGAGCACCCGCTGGCTGGCCTTCTTGACCCAGAGTTGGAACTGCACAGGCGACAGGTATTTCAAGCCCTGGCCAAATGAAAGGATTTCATGATTTCATGCTTGGCAAGGAGCAAGGACGCTACTAGGGGCTCCTGGTCTTGCTATAGTAGCTTCTTGTTGATTCTCACTGTTGCGAGACATTCTCGGCACCGAGAGCAGTCAAGACACGAGAGCGAGAACGGCACCGAGCAGCTCGGCACCGAGAGCGAGAACGGCACCTGCTGGTCCAAGGAGTCGAACAGTTGCTGAGACGTTTGGCTCTCACTGCCCACCAAGAGGAGATGCGCCTCGAAAAAATACACATGAAGAGTAAGGTCTGTCCAATAGAGTGTGTAGCAAGTCTGTCCAAAATTCAATAGAGTTACAGTATACAGAATAGAATGTCTTGGGTGTGTCGCGTGCTCAAGGTCTGATGACCTTTGTTGAGTTTCCACTTCTTTTTGTCAATACGTGGTCTGATAAACTTGTCCCACTCCTCCCTGCCCCAATCCATTCCGTGACTGGTCAGGAGTTGGATCCTGCATCTCTTAGCTGCTCTCGGTTTTCATTTACACAACACAAATGCCTCTTCGACCATTGCTTCCACCTCCTCTGGTGTTAGCCTCGCAATCTCTTGTCTCATCGACAGCAGAAAGAATAGATTGAAAAAATATGTCACAGAAATCGAGGTCAAAAGTCTCACATTCACCTTGCATGAAAGCAAGCCTTTCAACATTCAACATTCAACATGCAACATCAAAATCGTCAACCCTTGAAACCATTGTGAAACCATTTGTGAAACCAATGCGCCTCTGCTGAAGCACAGGCATGGCACTCTTTGCAGCAGGCGATGGCGACTGCAACGATGGAGTGCCTGGAGTTCCTCCTTCAAGAGCTGGTTCAGTTGCATTGTTATATGCATGAATGATTCATTTGAACGTCTCTGAAAGCTCTATGACTCTATATACAATACTCCAAGTCTCAATTGGTTCAGCTGTTACTTATGTAGTGTAATTTGCCTCTCACGGGTGGCCTAACTGGCCGATCTTGGGCTTCACAAAGCGACGCCGCAGAGCGCGGAAAACACGTTTGCAGGCCTCAGGTTTGAGCGCTCAAGAAGAATTGTTTGGGGTCAAACGTCGATCGCAGGTTGAAATTTGGACATGTCCATGCCCCAAATAGTGATTTGAGCTCTGGCACCCTGGGCAGACAAAAATGATGAAGGGGCCTTGAGTCCAGTGCGGAAAGTGAGGCAAATGTGGGATACGATGGCTTCATCGAAGTTCAAGGAGGGAATAGAGAAAAGAAGAGCGCAACAGTCAAGGAGTTGATGCAAATAATAGGAAGAACAAAGAGTTGCAGGAGGCAAAGGTGAGAACCTTTCGAAATACAGGAGACGGCAAAGCAGCAAACAACCATGCAAAGACAGAAGGAAGCAACAAGAGGTTTCAGATGATCAAGGTGAAGATGACTGAAGCACAACGGACAGCCCAAGAGGCAAAAAGGGGATCAGAAAGATTCATCTACTGTATATGGTTTAATTTTTGAGCCAAAAAAATATAAAACTATACAGTACAATCCATGTTTGTGAAAAAGTATAGTCTCAAAATCCGTCCGCACAGAACATGGTGAGGCGTGTAACTCGTGTCGGAGGTCCGTAGAACGTAGCTGCCGTAGTGAGCTTTGGTAGGGGAGGAGGGCCACTTCTGGGAATCTCAGAGGTATGGCCAGCATAAAATCAGCCGTGATTGCATTTCGGAGCGACATATTCGAAGGATGGGGTCATCTTGGGGTCAACTTGGCCCAAGTTGGCTCGACTAGGGTTTGGGCCCAAGTTAGGCCCGACATGGGGCAATTTGAGCCCAATTTGGGCCAAGTTGACCTCAACATGGACCCATCAAGGAGAACATGGTCCAGAAATGTCCAGAAAGGTGTTCCATTGTGGCCAAATCTGTGGCATGCTGGGTTCAACTGTGTGACCACCGGGTGTGTCCAAAACCCCCCCCAATTGTTGCATGTTTGTTTGTTTGCTTGTTTGCTTGCTTGCTTGCTTGCTTGCTTGCTTGCTTGTTTGTTTGTTTGTTTTTCTGCACTGCCCTGAATCGGCGACGACCTTAGTCATGTCAGTCAGAGAGCTGCAATTTGGGATTCCTTATCCCTAACTCAACCTCCTGGTGCAAGCGGTGTTCTTCGCAGATCGACATGAATATACTAAAGAAAAGGAGGCTCCATTTAGCTCTCGCAATCCGCGCAACACTATTCCAACTGAGCAAGTTCTTCAGGCGTTCGTTTTTCTACATCGACCGTGCCACAGCCAATTCTATTTAAGGCTTCTGCAGCAATTGGATTGGAGCTCTTGGACTCGTCCGTCGGGCTCTGATCCTGGCTACACCGAAGAAAAAAATAACGGACCGGATAACCCCACATATGGATCTTTACGAATCTTAGGTTTCTAACGCACAAGCAGTCAGAGTCTCAATAGCTTCTACAACACGGCCTTGTCAGGAAGTGATATCAGCTTCCGACAACAGAGGGGTGGGAGAGAAGGTGTAAGAGAGTGATGTGCACGACGGATGTACGAGGTATTGTGCACACAGGTGTGCGCAGCCACAACTAGCCAACAACACCAGCGGTTGTCGCACGTCCGCAATATGGGGCATAATGTACTAAAGTTGTACTACCAAGTCGCCAGTTCTCAGCTTCCAGCTCCCCAGCTACTCCGCGTACTACAGTTGTACTACAAAGTCGCCAGTGCTCATCTTCCAGCTCCCCAGATACTCCGCGTGCTCAAGTTGTACTACCAAGTCGCCAGTTCTCATCTTCCCACTCCCCAGCTACTCCGCGTACTAAAGTTGTACTATTCTCAGCTTCCAGCTCCCCAGCTACTCCGCGTACTAAAGTTGTACTACCAAGTCGCCAGTTCTCATCATCCAGCTCCCCAGCTACTCCGCGGACTAAAGTTGTACTACAAAGTCGCCAGTTCTCAGCTTCCAGCTCCACAGCTACTCCGCGTACTAAAGTTGCACTAGAAACTCGCCAGTTCTCAGCTTCCAGCTCCACAGCTACTCCGCGCACTAAAGTTGTACTACAAAGTCGCCAGTTCTCAGCTTCCAGCTCCACAGATTGCTCCGCGTACTAAAGTTGCACTAGAAACTCGCCAGTTCTCAGCTTCCAGCTCCACAGCTACTCCGCGTACTAAAGTTGCACTACAAAGTCGCCAGTTCTCAGCTTCCAGCTCCACAGATTGCTCCGCGTACTAAAGTTGTACTACCAAGTCGCCAGTTCTCAGCTTCCAGCTCCACAGCCTAAGAGAGCGAGATCTACTGCAATTCACAATAAGACAGCGCGCGACAAGATACTCTAAGAGAGCGAGATCTACTGCAATTCACAATAAGACAGCGCCGCAGCCGACCAGCGGCGACCACCGGCGACCACAGCCGACCACCGGCGACAACGCAACCGCCAGACCCTCT